AGTGCCGATCATTGGAAAAAAAAAGATTCCGAAATATATACTATTTAATAACTATATTACAGTTTTGCACGTTCTAAAATCATATTTATTCATTGAAGTATAGTAAGCAATGCTGACTTCGCTTTAATTTGCAACGAATTGGAGACAAAAAAAATAAAAGCTTGTTAATAATAGAAAGATTAAAATTATAGAGAAATTGTTCTTCAAATGTTTGTTGTGCTCTGTTTCAAAAGGATTTACCAATTTTCTGGTTAGTTTTTTTAAAGTTCTGNAAAAACCCATATCCTTGCTGACATTATGGCGAAATTTAGCTAAATTTTCGCAATTATGGTGGCTCAATTAGGTCAATCAGAAACCTGTATCTTTGTAAACAAATCGCATTTTGCTATTTGTAAAAATACAGTCTTTTGATTGGCCAAACGCGTCCATCGTAATTGCAAAGGTTTAGCTGAATGCCGCCCTAGAAAGCCATGGCTTTACGTAATATAGATTTTTTTGTGCTCATACAATAGATTAATGAAGAAGCTAACATAAAGCTTACGAATTTTATTTTGTTTAAAAACCTAAAATGAACTTTTTATTCGAATTGGGGGCCCCCTCTGATGTGGGACCCGGGACAACTGCCCCGTACGCCCCTGCCTTAGTCAGGCTTTGCATGTAAAATTAAATGTTATTGGTGAACGCTAACAGATCCTTGTGCATCTTGGGAAATCAAATACAGTGTGAATTTTTCATTACACGTAGTTTCTAAACACTCGCACACGAGTCTGGGGCTGCCGCATGAAATGCTCCTAAACTTATCTTAATAAGCATAATTTGATCAAGCATTTGCACTTTTTTTGAGCACATATTGGGACATTTGCATTTTGCAAACATACCAATTGAGCAATTTCATTTTTTTTTTTTTTGCACCAGCATTAAGTGAAAGAATCAAACTTATTCGCGATCGCAACGAACTATAGGGCACGTTGTTGTATGAGACCAATTGCTGCGATTTCTATATGAATAGTCATTCAGTTGCTCTGGAAATGTCTTCAGTGTAGCATTGTAAGGTTCCTTCTTTACTGTGGCTTATTAAATTTAAGAAGGAAAAATGCTTGATACTCTTTCTTATGCAAGCGAAAACAAAATGGTATCTCTTTTTTTTTTAGAGAAGGAACATCCAAAACACATTGGAAAAATATTTGTAAATAACCAGAAAAATATTTATCTTCTTATTAGAGTTAAAACTTAATGTCTGAGAACTAGTTTTACTAAATTTAATGACATAACATGAAAGGCCTATTTAAACTTTACGTTCGATAATTTGAAGAATCATATTACTTCAAACATTAAAATAAGCAAAAAGTATAAATAAGCTCATAATTTTATATAATATAATTCAGCAAAAAAAAGTTTTTTGACAATAATTTTTATTAAAAAGTTTTAAGTTTCATCAAAAATCATTATTTAGAAACTAAAAAAACGTAAAATAAAGAATACTTACGAAACAAAAAAACGGTTCTAAAAATTCCTCACATGAAAATAAAAAACTATCATGTTTCTTTTTATTCATAATCAGACGCAGAAAACTATTCTATAACAAATTATCATCGAAGAAAAAAATTATTTACAAGTAAAATTTTTTATTATAAAAATTATAAAACTTACCTGCTTTTTATATCCGGAGAATTCCAAAATAATATATGTTCTTCATTTGAAAACTTTATTCTCAAATAATATATATATATATAGATTATCCCTTCATTACTTAAGATGACATACCACGCAATAAAATTTTCTAATTGCAAGATCTCGATATGAATTTCAATATGTTACTTAAAAACAGAATAGCTGGATTCTAGTTGAAATTTATCATTAAAAATTAAAAAATACTTACAAAGAAAACAATAAAAATTTATTAATAATCAACATAATGATATTATTTCAAGTAATTCGGATGATTCCTTATTGTTGTTTTCCGAATTAAATAGATTCAGAAATATGCCAGCCAGGTGGCCGAGCGGATAGCGCGCCTGACTGTGAAGCCAATGTCCACGGGTTCGAATCCCGCCCTGGGCATGGATGTTTCTCTCTCTTGTGTTGTCCTCTGTTGTGTGTGATGATCATCAAGTGAATGCCTCTCTTGAAGTGATCTCGAGTGAATGTGGCCCACCCTATGAACGGGTTTGTGGCAGTGTGGTGTGGGCAATGTTACTCGCCTCCGTGACTTTGGTTCACAGATACCCACTGGGAAGCGCGAAATGAGTAACACCTCTGGCTTCTTCTAAGGCGAAACGAATAAAGTTCAGTGCCGATCATTGGAAAAAAAAAGATTCCGAAATATATACTATTTAATAACTATATTACAGTTTTGCACGTTCTAAAATCATATTTATTCATTGAAGTATAGTAAGCAATGCTGACTTCGCTTTAATTTGCAACGAATTGGAGACAAAAAAAATAAAAGCTTGTTAATAATAGAAAGATTAAAATTATAGAGAAATTGTTCTTCAAATGTTTGTTGTGCTCTGTTTCAAAAGGATTTACCAATTTTCTGGTTAGTTTTTTTAAAGTTCTGCCTTTTCCTTAGGGAAAGTTTGCTTCTTATTTGCTACTAAGAAAATGGTGTCCAACTCTGCCAATTATTATGATAGAACTAAATGAAAATGCCTGATATTTTCAGGCTCCGCTAGAGAGCGCACTCAAGCATAGCGATCGCGAATTGCGCGTGAACTATGTTAGTGCGAATATAGTTTTAAATTTTACTCAAACTTTTAACCTGAGAGAGTTATAAAAATCAAGTTCAAATTTTACTTACAAAAACGATATTACTGTTGAAATAAGTTTATGGTAAAGCACGTTATGTGGAAAACTCAGAGGTAATTAACAGACACTATTATTTCTAATATTTTAATACTGATTTTGGCATTGATAGCTTCCTCAAATTTAGCAGACGATGGAGTGTTTGTTTATTGAAGCGCCAATTTCTTTTCCTTCTTTGGAGAGGAAATCGTTTAAATTAGTTCACAAACATAAATGACCTTTTGTTCTCTTTAAATAACTTCCCATTAACATGTCTTAACATTAAGTAAGTTTATATTCTGAAATCCATCATCTTCGTTTTTCTGCTTTGCTTGTTCGCGTGTGCAAAATCCCAATATTTATATTTCTCTATAGTTTTGAATTTGTTCTTAATAGTTTTTATTTCTTTGTAGTTGTAGAATTATAGTAACACCTGTCTAACTTGTGCAATAACTCATTTTCCTTCTAATAAGTTTTTCATAACGGGTTTTACTTTTTGCCTTATTTATATATAACTGCAATTTATTTTAAATTGCTTATTTTTTTATTCTCTCATCACTCCTAAATTGATGTCTAAATTAATTTTTTTCAATACTTTTTATTAATTATAAGGATTTTTAATAACTTTTAATTTTATAAAATAATTATCGAAATTGAATTTCACTTGTTAGTGAGTTTCTGGTTGTAATTATTTTATACATTACTTCTAATAAAATTTTCTCTATTTTCGTTTCTTATAAACCTATACTGCTTGAAGTTATTTAGTATTTTTACTAACTTAACAGCGCTTTGATTTTTTTCTTTCAGTATTTAGATGTAGCAACAACTGAAATGAATCTTAACAATCTAGCTTATTTAAATCTATGCAAATTTTAGTGATGAATGAAATGTAAGATTCGGATGTCAGCTGTGAGCATATTTTACTACTTTCTAATTACTTTAAGCTGAATGTGATATTTATGCACTTTAATTACATACATAGTGCTATTATTTTTTGCGTTTTGGTTGTAGTTAATAAAAACTTTTAATGCATCTTGGGAAACAACTATTTTATGCATTGATTGACAAAAAAAAAAGTTTGAAACAAAAGAAAGTTTTTACAATAACAAACCATAGGTTACATAAGTTTAAGCTATTGTTACAAAAAATAAGAAAGTTTATCATAACTTGTATCTAAAAATTATTCAGTTAATTTGTAATTATTTGTTTTGAAAGTATCTGCTATGAAGCATACTTATTTTATTATTATAAAGCATTGATTTGATGAAATTAAAATGCTATTCCTTAAGTAGCTTTATTCAAATTAACAGATTACTCTGGTATGCTGTAAACATTTTCGTTGAAAACCAAGTTTTATTTATGTTGTTGTTGTAGTTCATTTACGTTGCACTGGAGCAGCACAATGGGCAATTGGCGACGGTCTGGGAAACATCCCGGAGGATGATCCGAAGACACGCCCTCACAATTTCGGTTCTCTGCAGAGGGTATTATCCCACTTCGGTAGCCCGACGACCTGCATGCAAAGTCGAGCACAAGTTTTATTTATATCAATACAACGTTTGTACTTAAAAAGAAAAAAAAATAATAATCATAAATCTGTTTTTAAAAAGTTTAATTTTGCTACTTTTAGCATTTTATAATTCTATATAAATAAAAGGCAATTATTGTTTCATTTTATCTCTCTTGATGTTTCAAGTAATTATTCAATTGTGCTGTTTCTTTCTTTTTTTCTTTCTTTTTTAAGAATAAATAATATAATTTAAAGTATTAAAAAACAAAATTTCTGCTATCTAAAGGAAAAAAAAAACTGCATTTGCTTTTTTAGTACATTTTTTCTAGTACATAATGAAATCATAGATAATAGACTGTATGTAAGTAAGGAACTAACTTAGTTTGTATTGTGGCAAATATTGTGAAGTCTATTTTTTCCCCTTATTTTTTAAATCTAGTGCTAGAGCTCATTGCTTACACATATTCAAGAAGGCTTTTTGATTTGTGGGGGCAAGGCCTATTCTCAAAAATCACATTATTTCTGTCCCTTAAAAATTATAATTTTATAAGTGTTTAAATTATACAGCTTTCAAAAAATTATTGCTTTTTAGAAAGATCCATGTTCCTAGCTGGATCTGTTACGAAAACATTACATTGTGATTCTGATTTATTTTGGTTGGTTTTATGCCTAATGTTATCTTCATCAATTTTTTTTTCTTTTGTAGGAACTCACCATACAAAATGTCAAATTTTCCAGATTCTTCAGATATCTTGAAGTTGTGTGGTAAATGTTTTATAAGCATTTATTTTACCTGGTCTTTTTCAATAGTATTTATAATTTCTCAAAATTAATTGCAATGTTTTCTTCTTTAGAATGTCTTTATGCCAATTCCTCTCTATTGTTTCAACAAGAAGTCAATAAGATGGTAAATGAATTGCTTATTATTTTATTTGTTGTGTCTAATAATTATTTTTTTGCATTATTTTGTAATCATGTTGAAGATAATGTGTGAAAGTCTTTTATCTTAACAATTATAAATGTTGTAATCATGGACTGTTATAAAATTTTATATTTACTAGTCAATTTTGTTTATTGTGAGCCATAATTTACAGAGACCTTAGATTTTACCTCAAAAGTTTTAATAAAAAGTTAGTATACTATTAAATATCAAAATATTTTTGTGATGAGTATAATTTGAATTTCACAAGAAATATTTCATTAATATTTACATTTTATTAATATTGTCAAAAAAAAAAACTCGCTGTTCATGAATTTATTTATTATTATTTTTTTTTTAAATTATCAGAACTTCCTTTATTTAAATTGTTTAAAAATTCTGTATATATTAGGAATGACAGCAATTTTGTAAAGCTTTTCTTCCGTTTTGTTATGAATCACTCAACCCATTGAGACACAAGGCACAATTTAAGTACAATAAACTCCATTCAAACTGGCATAATGAGACTGAGTATAAGTGCAACTAAGAGAGTGTAAGGTATTAACACTTACCTATGAAAAAATTTCGTTTTGAAAACAAAATGGTACGTTGATAACATATTGATTGGGATTGAAAGAAGTTATATTCTTTTTGTTCAGCTTTCAAAAAATTGAGTTTTGAAGATGTTTTGCCCTACACATAATTTTTGGCTAGGTTTCAGATTTTGTAAATAGGCCTAATTAAATTTCGATTTATCTAAAGCCAATACTTTATTATGCCGCTAGAGAAATGAAGTCTATAAGATAAAGAAAATTTTTTGTATAATTAAGTAACAAACTTAAATATAAACTATTACTCATTTTGATACTAATTACTCATTTTGATATTTCTGAGTTCAGCGCACCTTAGATGTGCTGTTCCACTAATGATGGGAATACATCTATTTCGTGACTGAATAACATATTTTTCTATGTAGTGAAAAAAATGTGTTTTTAATTTTTTAATAATATGTTTATATATACAGAGATGATTGTGCTCCGGAAAAAAAATCTGGATTTCCGGATTTTTCTTTAATCGTGATCCGGAGCTTTCGGGAGTTCCAGTTTCTTGTTTTCGTTAGAATTTGTTATTGTAGTCGATTATTTTTTTAATTTGTTTATTTATACTATTACTAGAGTGTGCAAAGGTATGACTGCGCCTCATAAATATTGAATCAAACATACAATTTATTCATACTTTATTCAATTAATTAATCATTTTTTATTATTATTATTTATTTATATCATTGTATTATCATTGTACAGTACAGAGCCCGATATCCGGAAATCAGAAAACCGGAACGAAATTCGATGAATTTTCCCGCCATTTTTGAAGAAATTTTTTTTTTTCCTCATAAGATTTTAGGATTTTTCTTTCTTTTTTTAAAAGATTTTTACCTTACCATTATTTTGGAAATAATCATTAGTGTATTACTTCATCGTTTTTTCTTCTTTTTAAGATTATTTCCGAAATTTTTTTTTTTTAATTGAGTTTAACAATAAAAAAAACTGCTTTTTGTAGCGATTCTGAAAACTGGAAAAATCAGTTATCCGGAATAGCGATGGTCCGATCATTCCGGATAATCGGTTCCCTATTGTAGTTATACGTGCTTACTAATAATATGTGTAATTAGTGATAAAAGTAAACTCATATATAATTAATTATTCATTGCTATGCTGCTTATATTTTATTTTGAATTTCATGTTTCAAAAATAGGAATGATTTCAATTTATAAAGGCATTAATTTTTTGAAATGTATCATTGATTTTACTCCAGAAATTTTCAGGATTTTTGAGTTGGGTTCACCCCTGTTTATATTATGTGATTTATAAATGGATGGAAGCGGTACTTTCTGTATTATCAAAGATTTATTAGTAATGTGGGTAAAAACTTTTTTAGTTGATGAAAAAGACTTCTGCAGAAGAGTCTTTTATTCTTTTCCTCTCCGAAGATCACCAAGAACTTGCATGTGAGGTGAGTTTTAAATTAGTTTATGATGTGGCTGAACTTGGGGATGTCTTTTTATTATCACACTAAATGTAATTTTTCTTTTCTTAGGTGATTGGTAAAAGAGTTTTACCTGAAGAAATCATCATTAATGTAAGCATATTAATTTTTTTTATCTTTAAACATTTGCTTGCTTATCTATTCTGTCCATTTTAGTTTACTGAATAATGATTTTACTCATAGAAAGCAGGGAGAATAGTTTGAACATTAATTCTTAATAGGTAATTTAATTGTGGAATTAAAAGCAGTTGGTATATGATATGCATGTTTTTAAATTGTACAGCTTGTTTGTTTGTATGTTTTTCTTCTTTTTTGTAATTTAAGTAATATATGAAATGAATATTTATTTTTAAAAATCGTAATCTCTCCTTGAATTCTGTATAATGTAATGTTTACATTTTTTTTTACTAATTTTCTAAGTATATTTTATCCTTAGAGCTATGAAGGCATCAGATACCGTTTAGAAATCACATGATTTTTCTAGTTTTAATTTAATGTTTGCTTATTATGCTGTTGAACAGCACAAATAGTATATATTTTACTAGTAATACTTTTGTATAAATTAGCTTTATAAATGTGTGCATTTTCCTTTTTCTTTCACTTAAATAGTTGTAAAATGTACAAAAAGTGAAATTTACATATAGGAGTCCAAACTTTCTACTACTTTACTGACTAAACTATTGTGATTGTGTCTATCCTAAATATTTAAAGGATAAAAAATTATAATCTATCCGTGAGCAAAGTAAGTTTATTCAGAGAAGGCACACTTTAGAATGGGATCTCTCTTAATATAAAATATTGTTTTTGCAAATAAATTATGTTTAAGGTTAGCTCTTTGAACACTTAATATTGCCTCATTGCATTAATTCAAAAGTTATTAAGCTGCTCTGTGTTTTGTTTTATATTGTACTTCTTGATATACTAAAAATTATAGAAACATTTAAATTTTCCATTTTATTGTGTTCTTTAAACAATTATTTTCTTACATGACAAACTTAAATTATGAGTCCTATTTTTTCTTATTTATTTTTTTACATACTTAAAAAAATCTAAATTTCTGTTTTGTTCTATAAAAATTTTTTTTAGATTTATGGAAAGTGTATTACTAAACTGAAATTATCAAAATTGTGTTATCTTTTTCTATTATGACTTAATCAGTTTAAGATTACTTTTGTAGTTTTTACATTTTATGAGCTATTATGTCTTCTGGTATAAAAAAAAATAATGTCAAAATTTTATCAAATGCTGGGTTATTTGCTAAAAAAAAGTTTTAGTCTTTATCAACAAGAACTACCAAAGATAAAAATATAAAGGAAATATAGAAGACCCGAAATTAATTTTAATAATATGTCATAATTAATTAAAAATAAATTTTTTTTTTTTGCGAGTTAATATACCTAGTTTTCAACATTTCGACATTGGTTATTTTAACATTTATCGATCAATATGTATCCCCCCCTCTCTTTACTTATTGACTTTTCTGTGCTTGAATTTAGCAGTTAATCTTAATAATTCACTCATGTGGTTTATAGTAAATTAATTATATTTACCTGTCTGTAACATCTATAAACAGTTATTTGAACTTTTCCTTTTTTTTTCTATTATCATTATTTTAACTTGTGTGAAAATTTTAACTTAAACTAATTGTATTAATTTAAAATTCCCTAGTTTAGAAGTATTTTAAATACATTCTTAAATCTTAATTTAATTGTAATTTATATAGGTTGAAAATTCTGCTTTTGCCGAGGTGTTAGAAAAGAAAACTGATGTAATCATGAATAAAGCGAAGGTATGTGTACCTCAAGGTATGTGCTAACTTATTAATGCTAACAATTTTAGTATACTTCATATTTTTTTTCTAAGAATAATAATAACCAAATGTTGCCAAAATAGAATTTAATTGCTGGGTTGCATCTGTAATTTGGTTGGAATTTTCTAAATACTCAGTGTCAAATGTTTTAATATAAATTTTTTAAATATATATATTTTTTAAATTCTTCAATGTATTTCTAAAAATTTTATTGATTTCATTTTCCTCTACAATTCAGCATTATTTAAAAAGTCATTATTATCTGATGCCAAACAAAAAAAAAAATGCAGGATTGTTATCATAAAGTTCAAGATATTTGTTATAAAGTTATTGTTATAAAGTCATTATCAAGCGATTTTTATCAAATGCTATTTTAGAAAAAGCTTCATAGTTCAAAAGCATGTAGAAGTTGATATGCACAACAGCATTTTTAATAAATGTAAAAATACTAACACTGACAAAATCTTAGCTATTCCTGTGAATCAGTATACCTATGGCAAATAAAGCAAACAATTAAAGAAAAAGAAACTGTAGTCGTCATTAAAGTTGGCAATTAAGAATATAATAAATATGACAAAATATTACTGATGATGTAAATACCACTCATTTTATGCAAAAGTTTGTGCTCCTGTAAATTTTTTAGAATAGAACTGGTATTGTTTACTTTGAATTACTACTCAGTGACAAAACCAATAGTTTTATAGTTCTAGCAAAATGCACTCCTTCAGAAGTATAGGCTGTACTTATCAACAAGAAAGGGGTGATCAAGAGGGAAGAATTCAAATGAAGATAGAGTATACTTCAGGGTACATATGATAAAGGAAAATAATGTAAATAAATCGCAAATAATGATACAAAAACTGACATATTGTTGGTCTATGGAAAGAACTCTCCTCGTCACGAAGTCTAAGACCATCTGCTGCTATGGAAATAAGAAATAGCGCATTTCAATAAGGGGAGCTTTGAAAATAGAATAGATAGATTGGATGTTTACTGAATTGGCTGCCAGTAGAATATTTATTAAATCTGATTTATAAAGTTTTTAAAGATATACCTGATTTTTTCTTTCTTTAATTAAATCAATGAATAATAAATAACATTTTAAATAATGTTTCAGGTTGGCTTTTTCTTACCTACTTGGGAGTTATCACATTTGACCGGAAAAAAAATTATTTCCTTTTTCTTGTCAACCCGAATCAAAATTTACCTTAATGATGTAAAACCCCAACTTGAAATAGTTAAACGTTGTAACCATAGTCACTGATATTCTGCTATTTATTATTCTGCTGTCCAGAGCAAGTTAGCTCTGGGAATAGAGAATATCAATTAATTTTTACTCGAATCAGATGACGTGCAAAGTGCTTCAGCTGGTGACTTTCTCTTCAAACTACCACACCAGCAAGAGAATTTTCAATCACGGCAGATTGATTGTAAGACTTGTTGCATTAACATGCCAGATGTTGTGTTGGCCATGAAGATCGAATTTACAAAGTGCTGTATTCCTTCTACATGTATAGTGCTACAAAAGTTTAAGCATTTAAGCGTTGGAAACACACACCTGCTACATCGATGAATTCAAAAACAAAATAATCTGCAAGAAATGTGTTAGTAGGACTGTAGTTGATAACTCTCTGACTCTGTGAAAAAAATTCCATTTTAAAATGCTTATAAGTTAAACTTCTATTGGTTCAAATAGGTATATGATTGCTCTATGCAACTGACAAATTCAAGTTATATTGTGTTTATTTGTTACCCTTAAGCTGTAGGTTTTCTTACCATTTTAAGATTTACATTTCACTTAAAATTAGAAGAGAGCTTTTGGTCATATAATTTGATCAATTAAAGACAATAATAACTAATAAAAACAAAATAAAAAAACATAAAACAATGAAAGATTAGCTATTTTTTAACATAGAGTACTAAATTTTTTGTCTAATGCTTCCTTTATTTGAACTTTCAATGTATCAATGCTTCATTTGTCTCTGGAAAGTGGAAGCTTCTTACAGGGTGTTCTTAAAACAATTAAAAGTAAAAATTAGGGAAATTTATCAATGTGGAAAAAGCAGAAAATTTTGCTAAAATGCCGAAAAAGTCAAGGAAAATAAATAAATGTATATGTAAGATTACTAATGGTTCGTAATTTGTTTCCTAAAAAATTCGTTTATTTTCAACTTTAATGGCACACATTAAAGTTGATTGTGATATATTTTATGATTTATAATTTTATAATTTATAATTTTGTGACATATTTTATGATTAAGACTATGGCATTACTGAAAAATTAATAATAAAAATTATGCCACCATTTTCAGAAATCAGTTTTTTTTTCTTAGTGTTTGTAGTCCCCCCTATTCATTTCTGCTATCCCAGCTGAAATTTTTAAAACAAGTAATAGAACTTTCAATATGTTTGAAAAAACTTTTGTAATTAAATTTGCTTCTTTCTACATTATCATATCTCTCATCACAGGTTGTTGACATTATTGTCCAAAATACATTTCTTAGGATAGACTGCTGGTAGTGACAAAATAACTGATTTTAATCTTACTCTGCTTACTTGAATATTGTTCATATATTTAATATTATCTCAAATATTGTTTTCTGAATATTGTTGATAAACTCATTGAATTCAAAATGTTCAATTAGTTAACTCTAAAAGTATGCTTCATTTAGGAAAAGTTTTTATGCCACAGGGATCTGTTTAATATTTCCTAATATGATGTTCAATTTTACAAAATGAACTGAAAAAAGAAACTCTACAGAAGTCTTTCTTACATTTTGTTAAATTCTTTACATCCCATATGAAGTCTTGCAACCAGGTGACTCATAAGGTCATTTAATACCAATTACAAACTTTAACAAGCTATGTCTTGGATAAATTTGAAGTTAGAATAAGAGAATTATTATTTTTCTTCATAAGTAAAAAGTCTGATATGATTTTCTCATTGAGAGCCATATATTTTTTTAAATTTTTTTTTTAAAATTTTACTTTGAGTTTGCTCTTGTTGCTCACAACACATCTGTATTTTTCAGCTTTTCAATTTAGGTAACAATAATAACTTGAATATTCAAGTACATTCTTATATGTGTGTTCCACTATTCACATCTAGTCTCGAAGAAAAAGTTTCAAGTATTCTTTGTCTAATAAACAAAAATAGGTATGCAAATTTATTTTACAGTTTTAAATAAATTACAAAATTGTAGGTAAAGATAATGTGTCTTTAATTAATCTGATGTATAAAATTTAAAAATGCAGCTATTCAATGAAATATCTTAGAACATTTGGCAGTTTGTTGAGGTTTGTGAAAACTAGTTTATGGAAAAGGTTAATTTTAGTTGTTTAAAAGGAAAAATTAAAAAAATGAGCTGTAACCATTAAGTAGCTTAGTTTTAATACTTTTTAAATCAGATAGTAATATGGAAAAAAATGGCATAGCTAATTTATTGGAAAATGCTTTTGATATGGAGAAATTAAGAATACAGAAATGTAATTTACATTAAAAAAGAAGTTTGAAATATATTATAAATTTTACGATTGAATCTACTTTTGCGATCAATCAAATCATATGCTAAATTTCATCCTCTATTGACTACAAACTTTAAGTGTAGCAGTTAGTGCCTAGTTTATTACTATAATTTATACTATAGGCAAAGTGATTAAACAAATATTCCTTCTAGGAACTTTTTTTTAATCACTTGTCCTTTTGCAAAACATGTATTTCACTTTATAATCTGCCCTAATATATTTGTGAAGAACATATTTGATATTTGATTGCTATTTGCTACCTGTTTTATTTATGATAATTTTTTATTGTTGATGTTAAAATGTTTTATATTGTTTTAGTTTCACTGTGGAAGATCTTGATGCAGTGAAAAGTTGTTCTAAGTATATTGCTCCATTGCTCTATCGTTTACGTAAATGTGAAGATGAAAGAAAGATTCGGAAGAAAAGCCAAGTATGCTTTTCTAGGCAATATTATATTAAACTAATTTTTTTAATTAAATTTTTATTACAGAAAATTTATACATAACTCTTTAACAAATATTAATTTTTGTAACTGTATCTGTGCATGCTTAGTGAAGTAATAATTTATTAGTGCAACAGTTTTTTCTATGGTTAATTTAGTGTTGTAATGCTTAAAACATAATTGAAAATTAAGCATAGTATTATAAAAACAATAAGAACTATTTTAATATTGTTGAACCTCGATCCATCATTCTCACAATTTTTATTTTCAAGTACATATGATATCATTGTAATGTTTCTTTTACAATTACAATTCTGGTAATTCCAATCATGCCAGTTAAATTAATAATTTCCAATAATAGCAGTTTCTTGGGAGAATGGTTTAAAAAATTTAGCCAAACTTTATAAGAAATGTATGTTAAAGGAGAAAAATTTGTTCTGATTAACATTGTTTTGTCAATGCAATTGGAAAAAAATGAAGGAAAATTGATTTTATTTTAAGGATTCTGTTTAGCATACACTCCATAAGGTTCTTCATTGGAAAATATGGATGGATATCATTGACTATTTGAGTTCATTAATTTGATTTCTGTATGATTCATAGTTTCGGACAACATTATGAAAAAAATTTATTTAGCATGAATTCTGACTTTAATTAGGGAAGGACAATGCTATTCATAAAAATCAGTACTTTATGGGCACATTTTACCCCATTGTTTTAGATTAAAAATGAGTACACAAAGGATGAACTATGCAATATCTTGTTGTAAAGCTAAAAGAAATAAAGTGAAAAAAAAATACAGGAGGAAATTTGATTTATACAACACCAATTCCAGCATTCGCAGAAATGCTTATTCAAAAGAAAAGAAAAAAAGAAGAAGTACGACTTAAAAATCTGTTTGCTCTAAGTAGAAAACAGCATGTACAGTGTGCAAAATAAAAAACATAAATCTCTTTATAATTTTTCATTTAATGATCTTCATGTCCTAGAACTCAACTTTAATGGTTCAAGAGTTTAATCTTGAACATGATATTAGTGCAACTGATATATTAAGTAACAAAATTATGCAAAAAAATAACCTTTCTCTGAGTCTTTTTTTTGTCTTTTAAACATTTTTTTTTCAATGAAGTTTGACTCTTGACTGTTAGAATATGAATCATATGATCCCAATAGTTTAGGTGGGAGACCCATAAAGATATCTCTTTATGTATATTTGATTATATCTCCTGAAATAATGAAATGAAACTAAAATTTGTTCATATTTGTAAAACTTGTTAATTTAAAGTTTCTGTATAAAAAATGATTTTTATAATTTATTGTTCAATATACTAATAGTCAAGAAATTTTTTAATTATTAAGCATGCAAATTTTTACTCAAACATTTTATTTTAAGTGAGTAAAGTGCGAAATTTAAAGTAAATCGGTCAAATAGATCTTTAGTGGTGGGAATAGAAACTCTATGAAATGGCAATATATTAAAAAAATAAAATTGATTTGCAACACTCCAAGCTTCGGACAGCTGTTTTGTCTAAACCATGATATAATATTTTGCAAATTGCAGTCGCACCCCCCTGTTTTTAGCATCAAGATTTAAAATCTATTGAAAAAAGAGATGTTTAATCAGAGAAAGTAAATTTTTTTTGTAACTTTAAGTATTTGCTTTTGCGGTAAAATTTTACCTTTTGATCAGAAATTATTAAAATATTAGCTTTTTTTATGTACACTACAAATTTTTCAGTATTAAATGAATACAAGTAAAAGACTTTACGCATTTTTATAATGAATTTTTACATTTAAATTTAATTTCTATTTATATTAAATTTAATGCTATGATTCATACTTTCTTTCAAAAAATATATACATGCTATTTTAAAATTAATCTGTTATGTATCTTCATGTTTCTAACTATGTATAAAAATCTAATGATGGTGTCTCAGTTTTCTATTGTTGTCCGTAAATTTTTATTGGCTGGGAAATCACAGGGTAGGGTCTAGTTTTTTCACATAAATTTTCATATTGTTTGATTGTCAACAGCATAAAATTAATAAAACTATGTTTTTAATTCACAATCGCAACAAACTATAGGGGGCTATTCAGTTGCTCTGGAAATGTCTTCAGTGTAGCATTGTAATGTTCCTTCTTTATTGTGGTTTATTAAATTTAAAGAAGAAAAATGTTTGATATTCTTTCTTATGCAAGCAAAAACAAAATGGTGTCTCTTTTTTTTAGAGAAGGAGCATCCAAAACACATCGGAAAAATATTTGTAGATAAACAGAAAAAAATATGTATCTTTTTATTAGAGTTAGAACCTAATGCCTGAGAAATAGTTTTACTATATTTAATGATATAACATGAAAGGCCTATTTAAACTTTACATTCCATAGTTTTATGAATCATATTACTTCAAACATTAAAATAAGCAAAAAGTATGCATAAGCTCATAATTTTATATAATTTAATTTTGCTAAAAAGGTTTTTTAACAACAATTTTTATCAAAAAATTTTAAGTTTTGATACAAATTATTAGTTAGAAACTAAAAAACGTAAAATAAAGAATGCTTACAAAACAAAAAAGACATTTTAAAAATTCCTCACATTAAAATAAAAAACTTTCATGTTTTTTCTATTTATAATAGGACGTAGAAAACCTTTCTATAGAAAATTATCGTCAAATAAGAAAAAAAATTATTTACAGGTAAAATTTTTTTAATGAAAATTATAAAACTTAACTGTTTCATAAATCCGGAGAATTCCAAAATTATGTGTTCTTCATTTGAAAACTTAATTCTCAAATAATCTACACATAGATTATCCCTTCATTACTTTAAGATGACATACCACACAATAAAATTTTATAATTGCAAGATCTCGATATGAATTTCAGAATTTCAATATGTTACTTAAAAACAAAATAGCTGAATTCTAGTTGAAATTTAACATTCAAAATTAAAAAATACTTACCAAAAAAAAAAAAAGTGATAAAAATTTATTAATGTTCTGAAATCATATTTATTCATTGGAATAAACTAAGCAATGTTGACTTCACTTTAATTTGGAATGAATTGAAGACAGAAGAAAATGTATTTTACCGTATCTAATACACACATCTGTACCAGTATGCAATCCTGAAATCTGAAGTTATCTGTTGCAAGCTTGTTAATAATAGAAAGGTAAAAATTATTGAGAAATTGTTCTTCAAGTGTTTGGCGTGTTCCGTTTCAAAAAAATTTACCAATGTTCTGGTTATTTTTTTTCAAGCTCTTCTGCCTTTTCCTTAGGGAAATTTTGCTTCTTATTTACTACTAAGAAAATGACGTCCGACTCTGCCAATGGTTATGATATAACTAAATGAAAACTTAATAAATAAATGTCCGATAGACGGCGTACTCAAGCATTGCAATTGCGAATTTTGATAGTTTTCTAAATTAATATTTTGAAACTAATAAGTTACTAATTGTTATTAGTAATTCTATGATATTCTTTCTTATGTTACATTTTATGATAAATTTATTTGAATCAGTTTCTAAATTTGTTAACGGTTTTACAATTATCATTTTTTTGGTTTAAATTACATTTTACATTAATATTCTATTATAAATTGCAATTAAAAATAATTATTAATTGATTCAGAACTTAATGATTAGCTTCATACTCAATGTTAAGCATGCTCAAATTGTATTCATATCAACATATTTGGTAAGTGAAAATATTAAGTTATGGTTGTGAAATCACCAACTGTGTTATAACAATATGTCTTTAATTTTAAATAATATTTAAAAAAATTATTAGTACTAAGCAAAATTATTTATATTCACCAATATATCTTAAAGATCTTTCATACTATTTAGCAAACAAATCTGACTTAAAATAAACATTTAATTTAAGCGTTTATGTTTGAAGCATAAGAAAATGGAATTTTTCATAGTGCATATATAAGTGAATATTTTGAATAATTTCAACTTTTGTGCAAAAAACCGTTTTATTTGATGAAATAACAATTATTGCAAATAAATCATCAGGGTTGGTGAACAGTAGTGAACAGAGGGTTTAGCCTTTTGGGAAATAAAACATATTCGATCTTGTGAGAAATGATTGATCAATGTTCTGCTGTATTAAAATATTTTTCAACTTAATATTCGAATCAATTCTTATTATATTTAACTCTTTCATTCATAATTTAGAAGAAAATTTTGATATAATTAAAAAAAGAAACAGAAAAATTGAAAGCTACTCATTAATTATCCCTGTGTTTTTGTCTTGTCTTAAATTTCCTAAAATTTGATGAAAATCTTTACTTTTTTATTTAAAATAATTGTTTCCTTCCTTTATTTTAGTGCTTGTTACAAGTCATCAAGACTCTACTTATACAAATTGGTTAGTATTAATGCAATGATTTTAAATTTATTTTGTATTTGTTATGATCATGAATTTATAATTTAATTGCTTATTTTGCAGATAATGTCAACTTGCTTTTAAAAGAAGTAATGACTGAAGCAAAGAAAATAACAGGAGCTGAGAGGTTTGTAAATAATTTTTAGGCATGACTACTTGAGTAAATAAATTTTAGATAATTATTACTCCTTTTCATTGTGCAATTAAAACCATCCATGTACCAAAATGTAAAAAGCCAGTTAGCTGAATTTCATATGTTTTTCGGTAGAATCAAATTTGTAAGAAAAAAAATGGAGGTCCTGATTTTAAATTTTAAAATTACGTTCTGCCCATCCATACATTGTGAAGTTGTGGACGAAAATATTATAAAAATCATATTGAACATCAGTATTCGTATACTTTTTGATATATTTTCATTGTCAGAAATATCTTAACTCTAAGAACATAAGAAAATAAAATTGCAATACTTTAACTTATTGGATCATTTTCTTTCACAACAGGAGCTTGTCAATTTACATAATAAATTATAAATAATCTTATTCGAAAATGAAATATTTCCACTAGAAATTACTTCCAAATATTTATAATCCTAATCTGCATTTCAACTAATTAAGCATTTTGATTAAGCTAAATTAAAATACTGACTGCTAAACTCAATATATTTTGAATATAACTAATTTTATTTAGTAAACTTTGTTAATATATACATAAATAATTAAATTTATAAGGAAAACATAAAAAATAATAAAGATTAATGAAAAGAGAAGAAAAAAAATTATTAAAATAAAATATTAAAAAAGTGTTAAAAAGCCAGAATACATAATAATGAAAAGATAATCTCTTTATCAGCTCACACGATTATATCCGTAAAAAGGAGTGCTTTCTAATGTTGCATCAATGTAGCCAAAGCAAAATATATCAATATAATAGTGTGAGAAGCACTAAAAAAAGAAGATTAAAATGAAAATAGAACACACTATAAGTAAAAAATATATCAAGCAAAAAACAGTAAATAAAATGTAAAGAAAACACAAAATGAAATCTAGAAAGGGAGTAGCTAACTCTAATGAGCTTACACTTGCTGGAATCTTTCAAGAATGATTTAAAATATTTTCGTAATAAGATTGCCAAATTATAATCATATCAACATATTTGGTAAGTGAAAATATTAAGTTATGGTTGTGAAATCACCNTTAAATGCAACTCCTGTAACATTACAAATAGGATAAATTATTGCAAGAATGATTAGAATATTCAAGAAAATTTTGTTTGTGTTTTTAAATGTTATCTATTTATGTAAAATATTTCTTACTGATTTACTGTTGTTTTAATTTTTTATTTTCATTTTGGTGTAGATGTTCTTTGTTTCTTCTTGATAAAGAAGAAAATGAATTAGTTGCAAAAGTGTTTGATGGAAATGATGCGGAAGATCCTAACCAAGTATGGGTAGGAGAACTGCTATTATTGATCAAATTATTTGGCACATTTAATTTTAAAATTTTTTTGACTGTTTTAAAGGAAAATATTTTTCTTCCTTTCTAGAATCCAAAAGATATTTGCATGCCTGCTCATGAAGGAATTGCTGGTCATGTTGCAATGAGTGGTATGTAATTGTATGGTGTTAGTTTGATGATTTTTTTTGTATCAATCCATTTACATTTGTCTTTATATTTGTTTTATCTTTGTTATGCATTTAAAATTTTCATTTTTTTTTTAAACTGCAAAATGTCAAAAATTTTCTATTATCTGCTTATCAAAATGTATGCAAATTGTCAGATAAAATTTACAAACTTCTAACAGGTTAAGGTTGAAGTTAGGTGCTGACAATATAGATTTTATGAAGCAACTAACCAATAAATTAAAAACTATTTTATTTTTGTGAAGTTTTGTCACCTAAATTTAGAGTCTAATTGAGTTTACTGCCATTGAAAAATAATAAATGGTCAATGTAATTGAAGGCATTTATATTAAGAGTTTTACTAGATTAGGAAAAAATTTTATGTATAAAAATAAGCATAGTTCTTAAAATTTTCTATTTCGCACTTTTTGACACATATAAAAACAATTAAAATGGAACTTTAAATCTATTGATTGGAAAAAAAATTTAGCCCAGTTTCTCGCAATTTGAAATTTTCTTGTTAACTTACTGGAGGATCAGTCTCTGATTTTTGTTAAATAAAATTATAAATTTCACTAAGGATAAAATATCCTCAGTGATAGATGGATCATGGGTAAAAATACCCTTGTCATCGGATTATCTGTGAGGGTGGTTTTTGTAGTTTTCCTCTACATGTAATTCAAATGCAGGTTAGTTCCATCAGAATGTCCACCTATTTGTACCAATAATAAGGCTATTTTGTACCAATGCGTGATCCAGGAGTTCCCTTGTCTTCTGGGTTGTGTTTAGATTACAAACCTACAGAGTTGAACATTGGTAGCCTTAAACTTAGAATTGGGTTGGCTGTTCCACGCCATTTATAAAATAAAATTTTATTGAGGTCATTGTGTTCGCATTTGCCACTTAAATATTTCACAATTAAATTATTACTTTTAATTTTTTCATAATCTAATCCTGTTTCAATCTTTGATATTGATATTTCATTATCCTAAGATAAATTGTAGGATTTTCTAAGAGTTATAATTATTTATGTATTAATTATATCTTTTTATAATGAATGGTATACAGTATAACTTCTGTGAGAATTCAACGGATTTTCTATCGTTATTGAGCTTATCTATTTACCAACGCCCAGTTTTTAAAGGCACTTATTTATCAATTCATTATTTTAATATTGAAACATCTTCAAGAAGAGATCAGACAAATCTCTGCAAACAACCAATAAACAGATTTTTGATGGAAAATTTTCTTTTTTTAGCATTAAGATAAACAAAACTGCAATAAGTGCAAATAATTTTTCAAACATTATCATTTTCGGTGTGAATTTCTCAAAGATAAAGTAGGAGAATGACAAGATGAAAAAATGTACAATTCAAAGATTCAGTTGCGATTCTTGTAAAGTAGAACTTTAAGGCTGATTTTCATTAGCTCTGACGTCACAAGAAATACCACTTATTCTTAAATAATATGCTGTTTTCATAACTGCTGTGAGATTGCAACAATTATTCATGACTGTTAGATCAAGTTTAGCCTTTCAAGCAAGTTTAGCCTTTCAAGCAAGTTTAGCCTATCTTTGTCCGACACTCTCTATGATAATGCTGAAAATGGTGCAAAACATCGAAATGAAGAAAATCCAAAGTTTTGTGAAAATGAAAAGCATTTGTGATCTAATTATTTAATATTAAAAATGTTAATGCAATATTACATAAAGATTTGCAAAGATTGAAAATTATTTATGGTTTTTGATAAGTTTTATCTAGATCAAAAAACCTCACCTAATTGGCATTTTCTTTTTGAAAAAGAAGTACATTTTTTGTAACTAACTTTTAAAATATTTAAAATAATTTTCTATTCTAACCACTCCTAAACATGCCTAAGAAATAAATGGTTTAAATGTAAAAGGTGCACATTGAAATAAATGAAATAAGAAAAAAGTTGTTTGGAAAATTTGGTTTAGAGAAAATTCAAATCAATAAAATTTTAAAAGATGGAATAGGTTGTAAAAGATAAGACTCCAGGTGGGTTCTTAATTTCAAATATATATACAGTACTATTTTTAATGTATCCAGTATTTAATATAAACAGAACAAACAGTTGTTTTTAATGTTCTTTATAAATGGAAAATGTAATTAGTTTCTATATATTTTTACTTAAAGTATTTTTGCAACCTAAGTGTTAAAAATTTTTTTGAGTGTCCAGTATTCTTAACAAATTTTTACAGAATGGAGGGTCGTTGCTCTCTAAAAGTTTCATTGTATGATATTATGTTTTGCTTGTTTATTTCTAAAATAATTGAATAAGCTATACCAAAACATTTATAAAAATTTTAAAGTTTCAAAAATTACATTTTGGTAGTTAAATTTCAAGCAGAGTAAATATATCTCTCAAGCAATTTTCTAAAATTATTTAGTTAAGTTTTTTAAGTTTAAAAACTTCAACCCCAAAATTACTTGTTATCTTTATGTTTGTTATTTAAGTTTTATGGTTCCTTTCTTAAAAGATAGTATTAAAATAAAAGTATTATTACTTAATAAATTTGCTTCAAGTGAAAGAGTCTTTTCAGCACTTTTTCCCCACTTTTTTCTTATTTTTTAAGAAATTTTTGTACCTATTTTTCATGTTGCAACACTAAAATATTAATGTTTATTTTCCTTCATGTAAACATGTTTACCATTGTATTTTATTAATGCTCTAGGGGAAATCTTGAATATTGGCGATGCATATCAACATCCACTGTTTTATCGCAAAATGGATGACTTAACTGGATTTAAAACTAGGTAATATATAGTCTAAATTATTTTTTTCTGAAAATCCCAGAAAGAATTTTTATTTGCTTAGATTTACTATCATTGTGCAAAATTTTTCTCAACTTTTTTATTAATTAATTGTTTTTTTTTTAATATTACCTATATCTTTTAAATTCTGTTTAAAGATTTTATTTATATTGAAATAAAAAAATAAAGATATTTTTTTGTATAAATGAATATATTAATTATAACATGCTCTTAAATTCTATCTTGGGATATTTATTTACTTTTGTTTTATTGATTAATATTATTTTATGTTTTTAGAAATATCTTATGTTTTCCTATCAAAGACGACAGTGGTAAGTTCAATATATATTTTTTATTGCATGACACAAACACATTTTTTTTAAAAACTAATTTTCATTATATTATTTATCAGGAGTTATTGGTGTAGCTGAATTATGCAATAAAATTAATGGCAACCATTTTACACAATTTGATGAAGAAATTGCTAGTACATTTTCTGTGTATTGTGCCATTTGTATAATGCATGTAAGTTAAAAAATTTTTTTTTGAACTTTCTCATATGATTTTTAATGCATGGTTGGAATAGTCAAATAATTATCAATAATTATTTTTTTTAGTTTTACAAGAATTGTTTTTTTTAAATTTTTGTTAAAATTTTTTCCTAATTTGGTTGAGATTAGCAGATAAAAGAGGCTGTTGTTTTCATTTGCTTAGTTTTACTTAATTTTTCTTAAAAAGTTACTATTACTGTTTGCTCAACATTTCATACCTTTTGATTTGGATATAAGAGAAATCTGTTGTTTTTTTATAAGGAAAATTTAAACATTTTAGAGTCACTGTTAAATTTTATTTAATTGGAGATTAATCTCTGTAAAATCTGAACCTGATTGTATTTAACTTGATATTTTTTGTTGGTTGTAGAATTTTTAAAATCTCACCCAGTGGTGTGCAGCAAAGTCACGTAGGAAACAACCACCCCTGGGAATAAGAGGGTGAGGGCAACTAAGCCATAAAATTCAGTGACACTAAAACATTTCAATTTTGGACAGAAATTTTAGCACTGTTTTTTGTTATTTTGCATTCTTTTGAAAAAATCAGGCTTGAAAAGTTGAAAGATTTGTGAATCATTTGTCTAAAGTTGCCAATGCAAATGAAAATACTAAAATAGTTATTTCATAATTTTCTATTTCATTAAATTTAATTAACTGATATAATGAAGTCACAGTGATAATGTGTGGTAGATGAAGAGGTTTGTGCTCTGATAAATCTCCTAGATAAAAAGAGATCTCTTAGTTAAAGTATTTACTAAAAGTGAAATTATTTTAGATTTAAAATGTAATTTTCTTTCTTTATTTTAAAAGTGTTAATAAAGTAAGAGAAATATTTTTAGAAAGGCTATATCTAAAAGATATTCACTGTTTTTCAAAACTTGACTGGTTCAATCTTTATTAATTGGCTTTTTGATAATTTGATAGATCTTTGTATTCTGTCACTGCAGGGAGTTAATGAAGTTTTACTTTATTTTTTAAATGATTGTTTTAATCTTTTGGAATGGTACTTTTTCAGATTGTTTGTTCATTTCAGAAGGGTGGCAGATGTTTAAGTTAAAACCTTTATTTTTAAAAATTAAGTATTTTTTTGTTAATTAAAATTATTAAGTAATAGAAAAGCAGGATGACATTTAATGTTACTTATTTATTTTAAAAATAAGGTATTCAAATTCTGTCAAGTGTGTTAGAGTATCAAATATTGACACCATTACTCATAATTAAAGTAGCTGATGACATTAATTTTTGTACATTTTTATGTTATAAGCATATATCTAAATTATAGTCTTGACAGAGAAGTCATGTAATTAAGTATTTTTTATGTTAATTGAAACTATTAAATAATAGAAAAGCAAGTTGACATATGATGTTACTTATTTATTTAAAAAATAAGGGATTCAAATTCTGTCATGAATGTTCGTTAGAGTATCAAATCTTGCTGCCATTGCACGTAATTAAAATAGCTGATGACATAAATTGTTATGCATTTTTATATTAAAAGTGTACATCTAAATTATAGTTTTTACAGAGACGTCTTATAATCTGCGTAAACCAAATTTTAAATGATAATGAAAGTAACATCAGTTAATTGTTAATAATTTTTTTTTATAAACTTTGAAACATTTACTTTCATGAAGTTTATAATTTTTGTCATTAATGTATTTTGATATTGTTTCAGTCTTGTAAGATGTTTAAAATCAAACATAGTAAATTTTTGAGAAATGAAATTTTTCTTCAGGACCACTCTTTGCTCTTGTTACAAATTTTTATTTTTATTTCAACTAAATTTATAAAGCCATATGAGTAATGATTTATTATTGTTATTTACCTATGTATTTTACTCTAGTCTCTTATGTGGAAGAAAGTTAGGGATGCACAATCAAGAAGCAGATTATCAAATGGTTTAATAATGCAAGCTAAAGTAAGTAATTAAAATCTATCTATATTGACAGATCTTATATTTACTATGTTTCCATATTTTTTCTTATATTTATGAGGTATATTTGTTCTGTTTAGGTAAATAGTGTTAATTCAGTGCACTTAAGAAGAAAGCTCAATTATTGCTTTTTAAATTTAATCTTTTAGAGCATATGTGTTGTTAATAAGTTATTTTTTTCATGTGAACATGTGAATGATTATATCATTGAAAAGTCTTTTTTAGTTCAAAATTCGCCAAAACTTGTTAACACGCACACAAAAAAAAGCTAAATTATATTTGTTTTAATTGCAAATGTACATTTTATAATTTGCTCATTTGCTATTTTATAAAGTATGTACTTTTTTTTCCTCATATTTATATGCATGCATTTTAATATGTAATTTAGAAATGAATTAATAATTTACCTACTTAATCTTAAAGATAAAAACGTTTGTTTAAATTTTAATGCTTTAAAACTGTCTCAAAATGTAAGTATTAAGGAAATTAAAATATTTAATTACAAAATTATTTTTAAAACCTTTGATTGTCATGCATTTGGTTGTTGCTTATAAGAAGCTTACTCCTCCATTTGCCTCTTTCCTATTAAATATATATTTTTATTTTAACTAAATAAAAATTTAATATTTAGAAAAAATGTAGTTAAAGGAAAAATAAACTCTCAGAAAATAGTAAAAGTGAATAGTTTATTATTATATAGAAATATAGCTTTTATGTTTATAGTTAAAGATTTTTATAGATAACTAACATTTAATGTGATATCGCAGTTTAGTTTTTTTTCTTCAAATAGGCTGCAGTCTAAAGGTTGTACAAAAACTGTTGTTGAAATAAAATTTAAAGAGCATTACTCAATTTCCATTTTTATTAATATTATTTTGAAACTTAACTCTCAATTTAGTGTTTTTATTTTTATACAGATATATGTATTAATTATAAATTTTATTATAGTATTAAGTTTTGAAACATGCTTGTACTAATAATAAACCTTTGAATTCTGTATAATATTAGTTATTATACAACAAGAATTTAGAAAAATAATATAGATAACAGACATACCCTGCTACCCCAAACTGATTTTAGACAGGTTTGGCAATCAAAAAGTTAATTCTGCAGAAAAAAATTTATATTGGCCTTGGTTTATTAATACATAATTTAAACAAAATGTAAAAATTGTGGTATACTTTGCTGACTAAAATGTATGTTTTTAAATTTTCATTTTCAGGTTACTGAAGAAGACATTCTAAAAATAACTAGTGAAATGGCTGAAAGAAATTTTATTAATGAAGAGTTTCAGAAGTTTTCATATATTCCTAGACTTCTTACAGATTCTGAAGCAGCTAATGTAATAAATAGTGTTTTTTTTCTATTTACATGTTGCAGTTTTTTTTCTAGCATTCAATTTTATTTACTCTTAAGAATAATTTTTAATGTTTTAATAACAGGCAACACTTGGAATGTTTGCAGACCTTGAATTCTCAAAATTTTGGAGGCTGAGGAAGACTACATTAATTAGGTATAAACAATTAGTTTTAAAAATGAGTCGTTTTATTGATGTTATAATTTTTTTATTACTTATTTTATTTATGCTTTCTGATTAAGCTATGAACTTTGTTAAACTGAAAGGTATTTGCTCTTTAAAAACTGGTTTTACTTCACAATAGTAGCAACAAAACTTTTATCCATTCAAGCTTAAAATTAGAAAATTAATTTTCATTGGAAGCCTTTTTAATATATTTAAAGATTTTTTTCTCCAAATTCAGCTATTCTGAGCACACAGCTTATTGCATTGCTCCATTCTAAAGTCATCTGTTGGCAAATTACCATTGCATTTGTTTGTAGGGTTTTACAAAGCAATATTAGTATAACTTTAAAAATTACAAAAAGAGGCTAGTTAATTTTATATGTTGTTAATCTTTATTTGGTAAATTTATGTCAAACATTCAGTTGATACACTGTTCATGTTATTTTCAACCACAAATTTATTCCAATGTTTTTCTAAAACTTTTGTTTCAGTTTTTGAATTAGTAGTAAATTAAAGAAACTCTTCCTTCTTCCATTCTTTTAAAAATATGATGAATGAATAAATGATTCATGACTACTTTAATTTCTCTGAAAATGTATTAATTCTTTAGGTTCATTGTTACTGTTAAGCAAGGATACAGAGACCCACCTTATCATAATTGGAAGCATGGATTTTCTGTGGCTCACTTTTCCTATTTGTTGTTGAAGAATTTGAAATTAATGGGCAATCAAATCAGGTACAGAGGCAGTTTGCTTATTTGGTCTTAGATATCAATTAAAAAAAATAACAATCAAATGCATTTGTTTAGTATTTAGTTAAGAGTTTTTTTAATATATTTTTTACACAAAAATAGTTAATTAAAGAACTCAGTGTTGGCATAAAGTATTTAAAGCATATCTATCGTGTATTGTGTATTATGTGTGCTAATGATACGCATTTGTTTAGTATTTACTTCAATATCTATAAAATATTTTAAAGTATATCTTCTTCTTATTGTAAATATTTTCTCATGTTTCTTATTGCTTCTCTATTTTTGATTAATGTTATTCATATTACTGCTCTCATATACATTATATTCTTTAATTACAGTCCCCTGGAAGGACTTGCTCTTTATGTAGCCTGCCTTTGTCATGATTTGGATCATCGAGGAACTACAAGCTCTTTTCAAGTTACATCTGTATGTATTTGATAAACTTGTTAAAGTTAATCTTGTACTGATGCTAATACACTTTTATAAAAGTGTTTATTTTTACTAGTTTTGTTTCTTTAAATTGAAAAATTTAATTTATAGTGCTATATTTAAAATATCTTTTACTAAGTTATAACTGTACATTATTTTTTATACAAGTTTACGAGAACAAGTATGATTCCAAATATTCTGTATATATTAAACCATTATTTAAATAAATTTTTGCTTAGATAAGAAAGATTCATTATCCTTACGTTTGGTTCTACATGGTCATTTTTGTTTTACCCTCTCAAATGGTTATGCACATAAAAAATGTCGCTTCATTTTCTAATTAGAAATTGTCCTGCACATCGAAAAACCTCTCAGATTTTTTTTACACCAAAGCAGATCTAGAATTAGATAAGCGAAAAATGACTTTTCATGCCACAGTTTTTTGATTAGAGAGTGAATGGAATTAGCCTGAGCAAAAGTTATATGAAAAGAAGTAAGCATTTTGAAGGAGTAAAATTGAGAATGTCAAAACTCCAGTTGAATAATGTGTCTCTATTTAATGTTACCTTGTTTGCAAGAACATTTTCTTTACTTCTTATAGTTTCTATTATTTACTCATATTAAATTAATAAAAAAAATAATTTTACTTATAAAAAGATTGAAAATAAAATTGCATATAAACAAAGCATATAATTGCATATAACAACATACCTCAACAAAGCTCCAATCCAATATTTAATATGTATCAAATTTTTTTTCTTTATATGCTTTATCTGATTGCTACTGTCTGAATAAAGTTTATAAATGAAAATTATTACTAAAAAAGCTCAATTAATTTAATTGCTGTTAAATTATAGAAATAAAATGTTTGTTTCAAAAATGAATTCTTATTATTTTAGAAGTCGGTCTTGGCTGCTCTATATAGTTCTGAAGGATCTGTATTAGAGGTACGATTAAACTTTTAATTTAATGCCGTTAATTTAATACATTTTTTTAAAGTATGATCTTATTAAAAAAAATATGAATCTAATTGTATTTTATTGATTTATTTGTATCTATAATTGTACTTGTACCTTTTCTATTTTATTGAATTCATAAGCTGTTTTCTTCAGATTCTTTTAATCAGTATTTTAGTTTTTTTTTTCAAAATTGTCTGATCCATATACATTAAAGAAGGTTCAATGTATGTAATCTAATACCAAAATATTGTAATGTATATAATTCAACACAAAAACTGAGATTAACATTGAACCATAAGATTATGTAAAAATTTATTTTTAATTTATATTCAAATATTTATCAATAATTTATTTTGTAATTTACAGAAATTTCAGTGATGAATTACTGTTTTTCATAGATCTAAATAAGTGCAAAGGAGTGTAGAGTTGAAAAATTATTATTTGAAAGAGAGTCATGTCTGGGAGATGTTAAAATTACTGCAGAAAGCGACACCTGTGTCTCATGCTGTATTTCTTAACTATAAATTATTAAAATGTTAAATATAATATTTTTAATTTATTTTGTCCTAAATTAATGTATAATAATAATGAGTGAAAATGAAAATAATGAATAATAAATTATGCATCAAGGGTTAAAATCTAGATTGAGAATTTATTGTCGCAACATTCAGGGCAGTAAAAAATTACCATTCGCCACCTATGTTCTATTCTGGCTGTCGAACTATTTTCTCGAAAAAAGATTTTTAAAAAAGATTTCTTTAAAACTGTAATAAATTTGAGTGCATAAATACCAACATTGTCTCCCATAAGAAGAAAATTTCTCATTACAAATTTCATTAAAAAAAGGACTTATATAAAAAGACGAGTGGGTTTGTGTCACTTCAATTTTAACAAAATATTAAATTACACATTTAAGTGCAATCTTGTTCTAAAAGTCTAATACTAAAGGCCATAGGAAAATTCAATTTTACAAATTACTAATATTCCACTTTTTTATAGGTGTGAGATGTATTACACACCAGGATGTAATACATTGTGGATTAATTTGTTTTAAAATTACTTAGTTCTTTTTCTTTTAAATTTTAGCTAAAATATAATTTAAACTTTTTTATTATATTTTGGTGAAACATATTTAATATATTACTTCAATCTATTTAGTTTGTTGTATTATTATTCTTATAGAGACATCACTTTGCTCAAACAATGGCAATTTTACATGCTGATGGTTGTAACATATTTGAAAATCTATCTGAAGAGGTTTGTTTCTTTAAAATCTTTTAACTTAATAACTATAACACATTTTATAGTTTTTGTAACTGCTAAGTAATTCACATACTTATGTATTGTTAGACATGTTTTTATAATTTTGTTTGGCTGTGTATATTTGTAGTATACTTATTTACATGATAAGGGCATATTAGGCTATATAAATTTTCACTCATATTACTCATGTTTATATTTACAAAGCTGCATGACTTTTTATAAAAAAGGAAATTCATACGAACATGCATTAATGATTTAATTTTTTATACACCTTCATTATTTAGTATAGATTTTCTTTTTTCAATTTTGTTCTTAGGATTACAAGAAATGTTTAGATTTTGTGAGGGAAATTATCCTAGCTACTGATTTAGCTCATCATTTCCGAATAATAAAGGGCATAAAGAAAGTTCTTGAAGGTATCATTTTCTTTTTAACTTATTAATAGCTGAACTAGTTAAGTTACATATTTTTAAATTTAGAAAACACTTTTTAATCTTTATTTTATTTTAGATGGTTATGATGCTTCAAACCCTGAGCATCATCGAATACTCTTATGCTTAATGGTCACATCCTGTGATTTATCAGACCAAACAAAAGACTGGATAAATACGAAGGAAATTGCTGTTAGTATTATGCTTTAATTTAATTAAATTATTATGTGTCTTATAAGTTATTAAAATTAGAAACTTGGCAATGATAAAACTTATTGAAACAATAATAACATTTAAATATACATTTTAGATGATATTTTTAATTTTAAATCATATGTTAAAAAAAAAAAATTAAATTTAATGCCTCAAACTGTCATTATTTTTGTTTCTTTCATATCATACTAACTAATTATCTGATTTTTAACATATTTAGGTTAATATTTGCATATTAAAATGTTATGATTTTTTAAGATTAAAAATCTTGCAGTAGTTAATTAAACTCTAAAACTTTATGAAATGATGCCAATGAATCTCTTTCTTATTATGTTAGAAACTTATATACAGAGAATTCTTCTCACAAGGAGATTTAGAGAAAGCAATGGGTGTGAAACCAAATGAAATGATGGATAGAGAGAGAGCTCAAATACCAATGCTACAGATAAGCTTCTTAGAACAAGTTGTCCTGCCCGTTTATAAGTGAGTGTTTAGAAACCTGTAGTTAATTTATTGAAGAGTTTAACGAAAAAGAAGCCTTCTTTGTTTAAGAAAGAATTGAAACACTGTTTATTATAATTTTTCCCTTTATTTTTTGTATATCAATTTTTTTTCTTCTTTTTTTGTGTAGTATAAGTAAAATTATGTAAAATTAATAGTTTTCTTTAAAATTTTCAATTGCTACAATAACTAGTTTAAGATTATATACATATAATATATATTTACTTCACTATAACTATCTTTAAGTTTTGTTGTTATGCATGGCTTGAGCTGCTCCCAGAAAAATGTTTAGCACAAACTGTGCCCTTTTAGATAAGTAAAATAATTCTTATTGATTTTACTTAAAACAAATTGAAGCATAAAGTATGAACATATTGCTTCATAGCACTGCATGTTAAAATGTTTTTATTGTTAACAAATTGAATAGTTTCATTTAATGAGAAACCTGGATATCAATATACCTTTCCCCCCAAAAAAGCAAACTGCAGAAATTTTATTCAAGTAATTGAACATGCGTAAACAACCAAATTGTGTCTCTCCATTCACACTGCTGCTTGCAAGTATGTGCTTTGTGGTTAGTCTCAAAAAAGTTAAAAGCTGTTGCCAATGGAAACTCTGAAATACTGTTTGATTTAAGTACCACATAAGTTTATAGAAAGAAATATTTAGTTGACGAATGTTTAAATTATTCCTAATTTTTCTACATTTCAATTTGTTGATTTTTGATCTATGATGCAAATGGATATTTTATTACACTACATTATTTTTTTTATCTGAAAAAAAAAAATTATGCTGCTTGGGGTATTTTAGTTGTTACAAAGAAAGCTTATTAAATGTGTTTAAATTAACAAAACTGCATGTTTCTTAAATAATGTTTTTAATTATAATGTGTATTTCATTCCCTCATGTAAACAAAAGTTTCTAAGCCTTCATAGTTACTTAAAATTTACCACAAATTACCTCATTAAACTTGAAAAATTACTGCTTCTCTTGTAATTTAAGAATCGTACGATACTTTTTACGTATTTCGCTATATCGCCAGAACTTGTTAAACAAAATGGAAAATTTTTCACACAATTATAATTTCTACACAAAAAAGAATTTTTAAAGCTATTTAATATTTTTTATAATTTTATTTACTGATAATCAGAAAACTTTTCCAGACTACAATAATATAAAAATTGAATAGTATACTCATTTTTACATTATTTTAAAGAATGTAATTTTATATGATACAAACAAAATTTGTACAAAATCGGTCGGTTGACTAGTTCCTGCGAAATCTAATTTTAAATTTCTCACTTTTTTAAAATTCAGTTTCCCAGGAACTATTCAATCAATTTTGTTCAAATTTTGTATTTTGTCATATAAAATTACATTCTTTAAAATGATGTAAAAATTTGTAAACCTTACAATTCAAAATTGTTCCGACTATGCTTAAGTAAAATTTAAAAAAAAAATAACAAATAATTATTAGGAATTACTTTTTGTGTGAAATTATCTTTCGGATAATTGAATTTTTTAATTGTATGAAAAATGTTTCATTTCCCTTAAAAAATATGGCAAAGCAATCAAGAGGTAAAATTAACATTAAGGGGTCCAAACTTTGAACTGCTCTCCTGACCAAACTAATACGACCATATTTCCTATATTGTAGCTACCCCTTATATTTTGGGGGTCAAAAACCATAATTAAGAAACAAAAATTGAAGTTTATTCAGTGAAAGTATGTTTTTGTGTCTGATTTTATAACTTAAAATATCATATAACTACTCAGCACATTTGAGGTCACCTCCTCAAATTGTTAAGATTGAGTCCTAGTATGAGAGGATCCAATCATTATAAAAACATTATTCCGGGCGGTTAATTTTTTTGCGCGTTGCACATGTAATTTTAATTTTATTTATTGATTTGTAGAAAAGCTTGTTTTATTACTTGTGGCTTTATTTTATTTATAATATTTATTTACTTTGTAATTTTTTTGTTTGTTTGTAAATATTTCATTTTGTTTCTGTTATATTTTCATATAGACTTCTCTCTGGATTTTTTCCTGATTTAAAACAACTTGTTGATGTTATTTTGTTGCATCAAAGGCAGTGGGAGAAAGTTGATATTGTTTTTACAGAAAATTTATCAGGAAGCAATAAGTCACCACTCGATTTTCTTGAGGATCCTAGAGTTGATGCAGCTGCTTGTGCTCTTTAACATCATTGTTGACAATGTTCCTTATATAAACATTAGTATTTCTTTTTTAATAATACACGCCTTCATGAATTACAGATAAAGTGCTTTTAAGTGAAAGCAAAAGTCAAATTTATGATTGTTTAATTCTTTTATAGTTAGTTTAAAAGTTTTTCATGTACTAAACAAAGTATATGTTTAAGTGAAAAATGTGCCTTAGAAATTGTTGAATTTCTGTAGAATTGCTAGAACAAAGTAGTATCTTTTCAATACTATAAACTGCTGTGATATAATTTTAAATTATTTATTTATTCTTGATAATTATTAAATATATTGTTTTCATCGGATTGAATTTTTGCATCATGTAATCATTAATATGAAGTTGCTTTTATTCTGAGAAAAACTATTGAGTGTTTTTAACTCTTAAAGTTTTTTAATACAAATGAAGGCATTAATTTAAATATCTATGCATAATTTCTTTTAATGTTAAAATACAAATTTAAAAAAATCAAGTAGTTGCTGTTAAATTTTTTAAGTTATCTAATATCGTTTTCATTGTAAAATACACGTTATTCACCATATTTTGAAAATGTAGGATTGCATAAAATTAACTGTTTTTTGAATTTTTTTTTACTATACAATTAACTTTTTTTAGTGTAATATATGAACATTATTATGAATTAAAAATACTTTGGATAATTTTCACAATTTGCTTTATTTTTTCATTTTTATTTACCCTTCATTAAAAATGCTAAAAATTGGTGTTTTCTTTTTTATATAGATTTTGGATAATTTTAATCAATTACTAAAGCAAATTTTTATACAAAAATTGTGTAGTACCTCTAGATAACTAGAGAAACAATAAGTAACTCAATATTGTGCTGTGGTTTTTATTGTTAAATTCTATATTGTTGAAAGAATTGAAATTGAAACAAATATTGATAAACCATATTGTAAATAATTTTTCTGTGTTTTATTAGGCTCTAGTTGTCAAGTCTGAAACTGAGTTCGTTATGAAACTTGGTTGCTTTATGCTACACTAACCAGTTTTGTTAATGTTATTTTTTTGAACACAAAGTGCAGCTGAGAATTTTTTTTGTACAAATATTGGAAGCATAAAACAAATGTAATATTCTAGATTTATGCTACTTAGTTTATAGGGATTTAAGTAAAAAATTTTACTCTGTTATGCAAAGTGTTATGTAATGTTTCTAATTTTAAATGTTGTTTCCGTTTGTAATCATGAATGTTTTTAAACAAAATATTCATACATCTGTTTCATATTTCATTCCAGACATAAGAAATATGATTGAGAGAAATAAGAGTTTATCTCAGGGATAAAGAGAGGTTTATGTATTAAGTAATTTAATAAAATACTTATGAATTATTTAATTTATATATGTTCATTTAATATAAAGTCTCATTACTTATTTGAGTTTGTAAGCAAATGTTGCATGCGTCTTATTTCTTTGCTTTTTAGAGTTTCCCCGTCTCCTTATTTTATTAAGTGTATTTTCTGGCGTTTTTGTACATTTTATTCAAACTCTGATTAGCAGGGAAATCATTGAAAGTTATCTTTTACACAAATTTAGTTTTCTAATATTGGAAGGATTTTTTATGCTATAAGTTTCTTGTAATGCATCATAAGTAACAAAATAAATCTTATTTAAATCCTTTTTTAAAATGTAGAAAAAATTTCATTTGAAAACTGTAGTATATTTTAAAAATTTAACTGCTATTTTTCTTTAAAGGTTAAAGAAAAAGAAACAGTATTTATTATTTTTTATTAAATTACCAAGATTCTTAATTTTCCAATTTCTTAATTTTATTTAAATTTGTGTCGTTGGACTCAAAAGCAAAAGGAATTATGAATCTTAGAAATTATTCTTTCATTATTTTGATGTTATATTCACATTTAGAAGGAACGCATTAGCTCACATTGGGTTGTCTGGCCAACTATGATGATGATGATTCACATTTAGAAGCAATGCTATAGAATATTTTTATTTAAAAAATTTTATGCATTTTTTCACTTTTATGTTTCATTTAGAAAGCGTTAATTAAAAGGGGCTAACTTACACATTGAATGCACAAAAAAAGTCGATTTAGATAATGGATCAAATTTTACACCATATTTATTTTTGTTGTGCTTATTCCACTTTTATGTGGCATGTTAGATTTCATATAATGTAGTTTTTAAAAGTGGTCTTTATTCTCTTTCTTTTCCCTTCGTCTTATCTGAACAATTACTATCCCACCTTCACATGGATGAAATTTTTAAAATGCTCTAAGAATTGTACTATTAAATAATTTTTATTTAAATAAGTGTTCTTCTATCTATTAAAACAGTTTATAAGTTATAATATTATTAAATAGAGTATTTTAATTTTTCCGGTAAATGATACTATGAGGCCCTCAAGGCCTTAGATTCCCAGAAGGTGCAACCAGGGGGAAATATTCATTAAATTACTTCCACAATCATGCATATCTATCTATCTATCTATAGATATATATATATGTATTTCTGAAAAAGGTTTTTGCATGTATGGTTATGATATTTTTACAAGCAATTTCAGAAGTTTAATTAACGTATAAAGCTTATTATAAAAAAAATGCATTTTTAACAATCTTCAAATTTTAAAATATAAAAAAATTATAATAAAAANCTATAGATATATATATATATGTATTTCTGAAAAAGGTTTTTGCATGCATGGTTATGATATTTTTACAAGCAATTTCAGAAGTTTAATTAACGTATAAAGCTTATTATAAAAAAAAAATGCATTTTTAACAATCTTCAAATTTTAAAATATAAAAAAATGATAATAAAAAAATAATTATAAAAAGTTTATCAAGTTTATTTCTACCTAGCACATAAGAGAAGTGAGTTCCTGCTTTTTATAACTTTTTAATTTATTAAAGCAATTTTTATATATTTTCATATAAATGAAAAAAAATGTTAGTTAATTACAATATTAAATTCAAGAATGCAAGTTTCCAATGTAGTTAATAGTTTAAAGCGTATACAATATAAGACTGAACAAGTATTATTTGTAATTGTTTCAAATAAAAAATTAATAACAGCTAGAAGCAAAGTATAGTTTTTAACCCACTGGCGGTTTATCAAATGGTCAAAATCGAGAGAATGTATCTTCCTCAATACACTATTTTCTTATCTAATGACATCGGTCAGCAGTTATATAATAGCGGTTTTGCTATGCAGAGAAGACTGCAGCTTAAAATGCGACTTTCTATGTGCAGAACCATCAGCAGGTTAATTTAATGGATTTCTTAATGGGATGTAATTTCATCCAGTTGACCCTACTTGTAGATTCCCAGGCTTTGATGCCATATAACAAAATTTTTATTACCCTTTTTTGTAATACTTATTTGCAAGTATGTCTATTTGAATATATTAAAATTAGTAATTTTATGTTTAAATTATTTTATTGAACATTTTTTTAATATTGTTTCATAATTTTTATTCTAAAATCCCAAATTCTGTAACTTATTTTTATTTTCAAACTAATTATTTAGCTGGTATTTTTATAATTTGCTCTTTTACATAATATTATTATCTGCTTAAATTTGTTGATTAGAATTTAATAAAATATCCAAATCTTTTTATAATTTGATTTAATTTTTCCTCTGGTGCTTGATTGTTTTCAAATTAATTTTAAAGAGTATTTATTTTATAAATGTTTTTTTCTGAAACACATCGATGCATGCTTATAGAAAATATTGGGGAATTTATTTAAATTTTCTTGTTTTGTAGTTTAATTATAGATTTTATTTCTTTATTTTTGGATTTTTACATAAATTATTTTCTTTTGTATATATTTTTCTAATTATTTTTGTGTTATAGATATTTCTTAGTTTTATTTCTATTAAGTTTTTGCTGATATTTATGAGGTTATATTGTTATAGAAATGCAATAATTCTTCTGCGTTCTTTTTACATTAATCTTTCACTTTCTAATTTCAACCCACAATTAATTGACTATTTATATTTTGTCTGTTTAAAAATCAAACACATTTTATTTTTGCATTTGTGGTTTTTGTAGAATGCATAATGTTACAAGTTGATGGCAATATGTTTTGTTTATCAAAAATGAATTAAAAATGTAATTTTATTGTAAAAGTGTATTTAGTTCATTGATATTTATTTTATTTAGTTTTTTTCAAAGTCTGCAAATGCATTCAAAAGAGGAAAAGTTATATGTTGCTTATGAAAGTTTTGTTATCTTTATGAATAAATTTAAAAACTTATGTCCTTGATTTTCATTAAGTCTATAGTCAAGCACAATCTGTACTTGAAAAACACAATTATTTTGTGTTAAAAGTAATTGGCAGGTTAGAAATTAATTTGCATCTTTTCTACATTATGTTTGAGTTACTAATATTAATGTAAAGAAGTTAAAATTCACCTTTAGTTGAATAAAATAATGTATTCGATTCAAATGAATAATCCCAAGAAAATGATGATGAAAGATTTACTTGATAAGTTCTATACTTCATAAGTTTAAAAAATTATCAAGGTGGGCATGTTTTGAGTACTTTAAAACAAACTCACCAATTTTTAAAACCCGCTTTCACATGAAATAGTTTTTTTTTTTTTAAAAAAAAAGGGGGAGATGATTGTAATAAATGAAGCTTTTCCATGTTAGCTACATATATGTTCTGGATTTGGTATGTTATTGGATAAACATTTCCTGTCATGCATGAAACCAGTTTAAAATGAATCACCTTGAGCAAAGACCATCAAAAATTCTTAAATTGTACCTTATGTTAATTCTCTATAAGCTTTAGAACTCTCATATTCCAGATTTAAAAGTTTTTTTTTTTTTTTTTTTTCAAGAAAAAAAAAATCTATAAATATTTCAAGTCATATATGGGTATTTTTGAAAAATATCTCATCCATATTTTACTAAAAAACCTGTTTTTAGATAAATCTTGCTTAGCAAAAAAAAGAATTAAAAAAAAATTCCCAAATTGTTGATGCATATCTTAGTTTAGTGTAGGCTTTTGGTATCTCGTGATTTGGACTAAACATAAGATTGAAAAAATTATATATATATGAATTCTATATATATTTGTAGATATATATGGGTATTTTTTGAGAACATATATTTTTTTAAAGGGGTTAGCCATGTTATTAGAATGAACAAAAATCGATCAACACAAAAAATATTTTTGGCCAAGACCTCTGGAATAAGGTCTAGAGGCTGACCCAACCTCATCTGCCTAAAAAGAGACTGCTGAGAAAGACCAATAAAACAAGTGCTAACAAAAGAGCTGCCTTGAAGGTTTTTTAAAAAAATGGCTAGGGCCCACTTTGGGCTGTCATGCCATTGAAGAAGAAGAATATTTAGATGTAGTCTGCTTTTAAATTTTTTTTAAAAAATTTGCTTTACTCATCCGTTTATTAGCGTTATTTACATTCCGAATATTGCGTGTTTTGAACAAATTTTTTTTCTAG